ATAAAATCAAAATTTATTTTTAAAGAATCAAAAGACGTGTTGCACTATAGAACTCTGTTGTCAAGGACCTCTCCAAATTACTAAAGAGCAAAGATATCAGCTTAAGGACTAAGGTGCACCTGAACCAAGTCATGGCCTTTTCAATTGCTTCATGTGCATCTGAAAGTTTGGCATGGAATCAGAATGACAGAAGAACCGATGCTTTGAAGTGTGACAGTGCAGAACAATACTGAATACCCCATGAACCACTAAAAGAACAAATAATCCAGGAGGAAATACAAACAGGGAGCTACTTAGAGACAAAGATGGTGAAATTTCAACTCATATAATTTGGGCATGTTGTCAGGAGGGGCTCATCCTTGAAAAAGAGACATCATGCTGGAAGAGATGAAGAAGGGTCAGTGAAAGAGGGGAAAATCCTCAACAAGATGGATTGACACAGTAATTGTAACAATGGGCTCAAGCATATCTGAAATAAAGAGAATAATAAAGGATAGGGTGAAATGCAGATCTGTTATTTATATATAGGGCTGCTGTGAGTAATTGCTGATGGGTTGACACCTAATAACAAAACAATGTAGGAGGGAAGGTCTCAATGCAAATGAAATGTTCCTGGATTCATTTAACTCAAAGATTATGGTGGCCTGGTACCCTGATAAAATGAGTCAGAAATTATAACTAAGTATATGGAAACTCTGAGTATTCTTGAAGGTCTATAGCCATTTGGAAACAACACTTCTTCATACAAAATTGAGACTGTCAATTTAAAATTTCATATATTAAATGCCACACATTTACTTAATAATATAGATTAATTCAGGAGGTTCTCCTGGTTGGCACAAACATTAATTGTTTTGATTTTAGTAAAAAAGGCTGATAGTATGAACTCACTTAAAGGTATCTCCGTAGATAGACCTGGTGATCTATTTCTGAAAAGTCACAGTCCGGAAAACCATATAGAATATTTCTACTTTGCCATATGGGTCATCATGAGTTGGAATTAATTCTACAACAATTAATAATAGAATGATGTTACCTTTCTCTTTTTTTGTCTCCCCTTTTCACCATAACATCACAAGCTTCTGTTGCAGAATCCAGACAAGAAAGAAAGTCTTCTATGCTCTGAAAGGATATTTAATATCATAATTTACTTTTCTTATATTAGGTCCCAAGAAACATGGATGTTTTAAAGATTTTGATGGTTTCTCTCTCTCTCTCTCTCTCTCTCTGTGTTTTAATTCCCTTTTAAGGGTTACTTTGTCATTAGATTAGGTATCATGATTTAGAACTAAAAGACAGGACTAGCTTGGTATCCCTTTGCCTCCTAAATAGTCATCTGAATACACAATACTAGATTTGGTTTACAATCATCCTGAAAAAAATCTACTTAAAGATTTTATAACACAAATCCCTAAGTCTGATATCTAAAGAGAAATAAACTTTCCTTACCTTTTCATTCAGAGAATTATGAAGTTTTGTGAGAGATACTTTGGTTTCTTCTGATAATTTACTTAAAATCTTTTTTCTCATCTGTAGGAGAAAATATTTTTTGGCACTGTGCTTTTCATATGTAATGGACACAAGATCAAATAAAATAAGTGTATTTATTGTTCTTGGATTTTACACTTCAAACTAGAAATAATATGCTAGAAATAAGTTGTGAGCTAGCCGATAGTCAAGTTAGCAGAGAGATCAGATTCACCTTTATTCTTCCATCCTGCTCTAATAATAGATGATACTTAAAGCACCACTGACCTTATAGAAAGTACGGTATTTGAGATAAAAAGCTATGTTGTCTTTTCTATTAACAACAAGTCACTGTCCATGAGTCAAAATCAACCGACAGCTGACTGTCTAGCAGGTTTTCAGAGAATGTAAATCACACAGGAGGAGAAAACGCATCTTTTTCCTGTGGAGAATCTAGTGGATTTGAACTGCCTGTCTCTTGAGTTGACGGCACAATCTCTTACCCACTAAGTCATCAAAGCTCCTTCTTTTTTCTATTGTAGTGGAGTATCTTACAGAACCACCATTTAAGTAGACGTTCCATACATTAGCTTATCTGACTTGACTGATCAGGCTTTGAAGGCAATGAATGATATATAGGCAGTTCTATGAAGATACTTTTGCTGCCCGTATTTTTTCTCTATCCTCAAATTTCAAAGGACGTAAAAGATTAAGAAGGATGAGGAGAAAGACTAATCAAAGTCACTTTAAGGTCATAGCACGCACTTTCTCCTTTAAGCCACTAGAAATGATAGTTCTAGTTATATTATAAAAAGGAAAGAGAGGAGTTCTGAACTCAGTGAGATTAGAATATAAAAGAATGAGACATGGATGATATTATAGCACAAAAATGACCATAAAGTTAAGAAAGTTGGCCAGAATGTTAAAAGACCTACACTTCAGCAAGAAAAAGAGTATCTATAACATAATTATGAAGAAAATAACACTGTTTACTCCCAAATAATTAATTAATATCATTTTAATAAACTGGTTTATATTACCAATTCTGCTGGCATTTGAATTCTGCTGGCATTTGAAGTAAACAGAAGTGAAATAAAAATAACTATTCTTCCCTTCAAATGCTTTTGTTTTATTTTCCTTTTGCACTAGTATAAACGTATCACATCAAGAGTCACACACATAAAAACAGTCATTAACATACTTCATTTGTAATGGTTGCAGGATCATCTACTGACATCATTAAATCCGAAGCTAAGAAGTTGAAAATGAGGTTAGTGATATCTGTACAAACTGTCTTCAGTAAATGTTTAGTAAGAGCAGCCTGTGTATCATCTGTAAAACAAAAGCATTTTATTAAAAATAAGCTGTAAAAGAATGATGCGTATGAGTGAATAACTGTAGTAGGTATACCTGCAAAAAATTTCATCCCTTTTTCAAATAATCGAATATTATTGTATAGGTTTGAAACCTCTTCTTGCAAATCCTTGATTGTGCGTTTTCTACCAGTTCCAACAGCAGAACTTGAAGACAAGAATACTGAACGTACCACCTCCAGATACATTTTATTAAGAGGCCTGTGAACAAGAAAAATAGATTGTTTACTAGAACATGTTGGTGTATATGTTGGTCAGAAAGCTTTCTATGAAAATAAGACTTAAGAAAAGTTTTCTACTTTTTAAACAAATAATAATAATTTAGAAATGTCAAAGATAATTTATTCACTAATTTCAAGTTATAAGATAAATAGTAGATTATTTTTTTAGGTTTTAAAGTATCCAAAGTTAATGCACTGAAGTCAATTAGAAAAAGAAAAATTCTACAAAATAGGTTCTTTAAAAAGTAATTTGGAAGGATTAGAGGGAAATTTCTTCAAAATAGTAAAAAGCAAACCGGAGAGCCAACATTGTTCTCAATGGAGAGCGATTAAAGGCATTCCCTTTGAGAACAGGAACTAGGCAAGGATGCCCATTATCACCTCTCCTATTCAATATTATATTGGAAGTCTTAGCAATAGCAGTAAGATAAGAGAAGAAAATAAAAGGTATCCAAATTGGCAAGGAGAAGATAAAATTATCTCTATATGCAATGATATGATAGTATACTTCGAAAACCCTAAAGACTGAGCAAGAAAACAGCTGGTGGCAGAATACAAGATTAACATAGAAAAATCAATTGGATTTTTTCTACAGTGACAAAGAAAATACAGAGCTGGAGATAAGAAAAACAATGCCCTTCAGAATAGCTAATCACAAGATTAAGTACTTGGGAATAAATCTAACCAGAAGCACAAAGGATCTATTCAAAGAAAAATACAAAATATTACTACAAAAACCAAAAAGAGAACTGGAGAAATGAAAGAATATACCTTGCTCATGGATACAGGAAGATGCAATACTGTGAAAATGACAATACTACCAAAAGCAAGTTACACGTTCAATGCAATCCCAAAACAAATACCAAATCCATTTTTCAATGAGATGGAAAAGGCAATCTCCAATTTCATTTGGAACTGAAAGAGAGCCCAAATAGGCAAAGCACTCCTTAAAAAGAGAAACACGGTAGGTGGCATCTCACTCCCTGATTTCAAATCCTACAACACTGCTGTGGTGGTCAAGACAGTACTGGTACAATGACAGACACATAAATCAATGGAATAGAATTGAAAACCCAGAAATCAGCCCATCTACTTGTAGTCAACTGATTTTTGACAAGGGAATAAAATCAGTTAAGTGGGGAAACTACAGCCTTTTTAGCAAATGGTATTGGCAAAATTGGAAAACTATTTGCAGAAAACTCAAGCAAGATCCACACCTCATTCCATACACAAAAACAAAGTCGAAGTGGATTAAGGACCTAGGCATAAAACCAAGAACTATAAACTTCATTAGAGAAAAAGATGGAAGTGCCACTTGCATAGTACCACTGTTGTAAAGTGGGTCTGACATCAGAGTTGGTGGGAAATAAGAGGGGATAAATAATGCATACAGCATTGAAACAGATGAGGGAGAATACTGTTTAGGAGGAATATATAATTAGGTATTATTGTCATGACAAGAGTCCAGAATAAAAGCTACACAGTGGAGCGGACTGGGGCAGAGGAGACACTATATAACAATGAAAGAATTTTTTTTTTTACTTTTCAAAGAGAAAAGCGAACTGGGGAGAAGGGTGTGCAGGGAGGAAAGTGTGCAAAAAATGATTCAATGGACTAAAGTCTCTGTAACCTTTCATTATAATAAAAAATAAAACCATAACTAAACAGGCAAAACAAAAAATATTTGGAGAATACCAAAATAAAAAACAAAACAAAACCCTAAATACCTACAGTAGATTGAGAACAGGACACTATAAATTTGTTCATCTTTAAATAGAATAATTTAATTTTCAACTTTAAAGTAGTAAAAGGCAAAATACATATTTTAAAATTAATACTTTCAATCATGAAATGACTATTGCAATTGTTTCCACATATGAAAAATAAGGCTCTGTAATATATCCACACACAAAGAATAGTCACTTAAATTAAAAAAAAAAATTATCATAACAAAACCTGTTTTCCTAAACAGATGCACTGGGCTCCTGAATTACATTTAGGGAAGTTTACTGATTGGGACCAGCTTGACAACAACTAATTTAGTAACAGTTGAGTTATATACAATTTAATTTATTTTCATATAAAATAAATAACTTGGCTCATTTATAAACTATAGATGTCCAACTGTATTGTGTTTGAAGTTGGTTTGGAACTTTTATTTTCTCCCTCAATGTAGTATCAAACCCAATCAGTTGCTCCTAGGGTGACAGGTCTGGCAATCCTCTTCCGTAAGGACTACCACCAAGAAAATACTATAAGGCAGTTTTACTCTGTTACACAGGGTCGCCAAGTCAAAAATGATTTGATAGCATCTAACGATACCTGTTTACAAAAGTAAAGAGTGTTTATTAAATTGATACAGCACAGTCATTTGTTCCTTTTTAAAAGTCTCTCATGTTATGGTAGATAGTCAGTGAATAGTGCTGGCTGCAAAACAAGAACATTTGCAAGTTCTTGTCATTTCCCCCCCCATGCTGTCTTGTCCAAAACACTTCACAAATGTTTGCTGAATTACTGCTGTAGTTAAACACAATCTGGAATCTTACCTGCTAGGTTAAATTCAAAACTTTGAAAACACTGAAAAATAAATATTTTCGATAATCTTGTTATAATTTATTGAACATCCCTCTAAATTTCTAGCACAAAACAGAAAAGATAATACTTGCTTTATTAAGTATTCAGCAAGTTCAGAAAGAAACTCTTCAGGGGCATCTTGTATGCGTTTTCTTAAAAAATCTTCAACTTCATCCTGGAACATAAAAGTGATCTCTGGCTTCTTCTTTCCTGTAACAGATACAAGCAATGTGAAAGAAGGAACAGTCCCAAGTAAGGCCCAACTAACATATTTAACCTGACAGAATTTCATTTGTTGCCTTCTTTAAGACTCTGATAGTACTTTTTTTTTTGTCAATAAAACTGCCAATGTGAAAATAATAATAATAATGAGAAAGTTTAGACTGAGAATACAATGGTAATTATTTTGAGGATGCTTTTCTAAATTCACTTAAAATGACTGCTTTCTATGAGACAATAAAAAAAATAAAACATACCTTTTTCCTTTCATTTACTGAGATAATAGAAATAGTTGGAAATCTTTTCTAAATGAATAATTTATCTTAAACAAAGGCTACTTGGTAAAACTGTCTTCTTTATAAAAATAAGTGTTTATTAAAAATGAAATCAGTCTTACCACCTACCTAAGATCCTCAGGAATATCCACGTAAACTACAACCCCAACAGAACTTAAGTTAAATCTTGTCTCCTTATTGGGAAAGCACAGATTTAAACAAACAAACAAAAATCTCAAAATTTATACCAAGAGTCTATTTTATTCTTCCAAAATTCATTCAATTACAAGAATTTGTGGTAATGGAAATAAGCATGAATTGTGACAGTGATAGACTTAAGTACTTACCTGGAAAAGTGTAAGTGCAGATAAAACTAACAATATTTCTACTAGAGACTCCAATGGCATAAAAGTGATTAGTTCCAGCTAAATTAGGTTACTGGTCCTAAAAGCTAAACCTCAGAAATAAAAAGAGTTTAATATAAAATTTCACTATGCGCGAAGATTAAAGAACTTAAGCTCACAGCTTAAGAAAAGGTAGAAAAGAACTAGACTTCCTTTTGTTGAGTGCTTTCTTTCTTGATCTTCCACATCAAATAGTCTAGGAATTTCCCTGTTTGCTTCTTGCATGCATTTTACAAGTTGTTAAATTATATTTCTTTCGAGTAGTCTTTCACACTAAGTTGGTCCCGTACGTTAACTGAAAACTCAATTTCATCCCCAATTTGAGAGTTTACAATATAACTCTTTTTCAACAGCACTGAGAAATCTTTTTTTGGTGGTGGGGGGTAGAATAGTTTTACAATATTTACAGCCTCTCTTCATAATATATGCACAAAGTGAAGCTTTCACATGACTTACTCAACAAAAATTTTAAAATAGAGATGATAGAGAACTTTCTTATTAAATGTTCTTTCACTTCATCCCTAAGTATATTTGGGGAATTGGAAATTCATTGATCAATCAAAAGTTAAAAACTGTATACTAAAACCAAACCTAATGCCTTTAAGGCAATTCTCACCCACAAGAACTCTACAGGGTTTCCAAGGATGTAAATCTTATAGAATCAGATCACCACATCTTTCTCCTGCAGAAGGAAAAGTGAGCTTGAACCACCAACCTTTTCGTTAGGATTGATTGTTTTAACCACAACACAAATAAAGATTCTCAAAAACCATACCAATTCTCACTAATTCACTGATGTCAATTTGGAATAGATCCATAACTGACCCTCCACTAGGTTTCAGGGGCTAAAATCAAAAGGGAGGGGACTACTCATCTTTCTTCCTTGGAGGTAGGTTTGAATTGTCAGAGAAGCATACACTTTGGGTTAGCAGCACAATTCCTTATGGACTAGGCTTCTGTAGTCTTATTCCTATTAAATGATAGAGCAAGTCTTTCCCGTAAAGACTCCTTTTCTTTGTTTTCTATACAAAAAGAACAGTATGTATTTTTACCGATTTTGACTCAAATTCACAAACATCAAGTAGATTCTGACTCATAGTCAACAGGAAGAGATTGTCTATCTTTCTCTTAAAGACCAGCCAGTAGATTTAAACAGCATGTAGACATGAGGTTTCTGGGTTAGCAGTGCAACCAGCTATAGAGTATGTTACCAGAGATTTCTATTTAAGGACAGTTAAAAAGAAAAGCAAAATTATATTAATCTTCAGAAAACAAATTTTAAAAAGTCATAAACACAAAGGAAGAGTAAAATAAAACTACAAACCAGGGTGAGATGACTGAGACTCATCATCACTATCATCGTCCTTTCTTCCTTTCTTCTTAGTCTTTTTTATCTTGTACTCTCTGGCATTGCTACCACCACCTCCTCTCACACTTCCACTGCCCTCTGGTAAAAACGATGTTATTCAGTCTTTAGCAAATTACCATTTTTTAGAAAACAAAGACACGATACTGTCTTAATTAATCTTAGAGTTTAAAAGGCAAAATGAATTTTTAGCCTCTTGAAAACGGTTTCTCTGATAAATAAAATTTTAGTAAATACAACCAATTAGGGGGAAGGAATCAATAAATAAACAGAAAATTTGTTGAATTTATGAAATATACTTAGTCTCCCCATACTAAATGCATTCTCCTTCCACTAATTTCACCTCTTTTCTGTAGCTTTGCCTGGCTCTTTTTTGGTTGATCTATTCTTTCACATTATTTAACCTATTCTTCTATCTTCCCTAAAAGAAATGTTCCTTCTTTTTACCATCTCTGCTATCGAAGCCAAATTAATATGTTCCTGTAATAAGATATTTCACCAACTTAATACTTCTTTGTGCCTCTAGCTTGAAAGATTGTCCACATTTACGGGAGATATCTTGACTGACCTCTAGTTAAGAGGTTATGACAGTCTTGACATCAATGAATAAAGACATAATACAAACATTAAAGTTATTATCACTAGAGTTAATACTTGACAAAACATACACTAAATCTGAACAACATATTTCTTAAGTATATCATTATAAATTATCTACTGGCAACAATATAAAGTTCAGAAAGATTTAATTTATGAAACAAACTTAAATACTATAAATAAAAGCTTAAAAAGTTTCTAAGATATTTACCTGTTTTACATACTTACATTAAAAAAGACCTTTAAACTATTTAGTCTACAAAAACAAAGGCTATCTAAGATTAAAACATTATAAAATACTGACACAATTTCTTCACAAGATTGTATTTTCAACATAGTCATTGTTCATTTTCTAAATTCTAATTAGATTTTTTTAAGATTTCATCACTTCAGACTTAAATATATATTTAAATAGTCTATTTTCTTCCCCTTTTATGAGTAAAAAAGTAGTCTTCAAAAGTATAAATCTAAAGTAAAAGTGGCTTTAAATTTGAGAATAAATTTCCTATGGGGGAAATTTTTCATATTTGCTATCATTCCACACACAATAATTAAATTCATATAACAGCACCATCATTGAGAACAAAATACCAAATAATCTTTCACTTTTTTAAGAAATAACATTGACTAGTTATAATGAACACAGGCAAAACCAACCAATTAAGGTGAATTTATAGGAGGAAGTTCAAATTGCTCTGAAGGAACTGGCAAAAAACAAGGCTCCAGGAGATGATGGCATACCAATCAACATATTTCAACAAGTAGACACTGCTCCGGATGTGCTAAGTAGTGCCAAGAAATCTGGAGGACAGCCAGCTGGCTGGCTGACTGGAAAAGATCGATATTTGTTCCCATTCCAAAGAAAGGTGACCCAACAGAATGTGCAAATTATCGAGTATCTTTGATATCACATGCAAGCAAGATTCTGCTGAAAATGATCCAAAAACATATGGAGCAATATGTCAACAGAGAACTGCCATATGTGCAGGCTGGATTTAGAAGAGCTTGTGGTACTAGGGATATTATAGCTAATGTTAAATGGATCTTGGCAGAAAGCAGGGAATACCAGAGGAATGTCTATCTGTGCTTCATCGACTATGCAAAGGCTTTTCTGAGAAGAATGGGAATCCCAGAACACTTGATTATGTTAATGCGAAACCTATGCTTGAACCAAGATACAGTCATCAGAACAGAGCAAGGAGACAGTCCATGGTTTAAAATCAAGAAGAGGGTCCGTCAGGAATGTATTCTGTCTCCATACCTTTTCAATCTGTATGCAGAACAGATCATCCAAGACGCTGGGCTCTAGGAAGAGGAATGTGGCATCAGGATTGGTGGAAGAGTCATAAACAACCTGCATTATGCAGATAACACAACCCTGCTTGCTGAAACTGAGGAGGACCTGAAGCGCTTGCTACAGAAGGTCAAGGATTGCAGCCTCCTATATGGATTGAAGCTCAACATCAAGAAAGCAAAGATTCTCACCACTGGGCCAATTGGCAGCATCAGTATGGATGGTGAAGAGATTGAGATAGTTAACAGTTTTAGTTTACTTGGCTCTACAGTCAACACTCTTGATAACAGCAGCCAGGAAATCAAGAGATGAATTGCATTGGGAAAGTCAGCTGTGAGGGACATATCAAGAGTAGTGAAGAGCAATGACATCAGGCTGGAGACTAAGGTGCGCCTGATGCAGGTTATAGTCTTTGCAATTATGTGCTATGCATCAGAGAGTTGGACAGTGAATAGGGATGATAGAAAGAGAATTGATGCCTTTGAGCTGTGGTGCTGGAGAAGAGTGTTGAATATACCATGGCTAGAACAAACATGTTTGCCCTGGAGAGGGTGAAGATGGAAGGCTCTTTGGAGTCAAGGATTCTGAAGCTTCGTCTGACATACTTTGGGCATGCTGCAAGGAGGGACTGGTCCTTGGAGAGGGACATTGTGTTTGGCAGAGTGGATGGGCAGCACAGGAGAGGAAGACCTTTGATGTGATGGATCGATTCTGTGAGTGGAGTGGTGGGAATGAATGAGTTTGAGATGGCTGGGTTGGCACAGGATAGAACAGAGTTTAGAGCTTTTGTACATAGGGTTGCTATGAGTCTCAAGCGACTCGATGGCACACAACAATAACAACAATTAATTGATAAGTAATAATAAGTTATATTGCTATATGCATTACTGTGATTTATTGTAATATTTTTTATAAACTATTGTTTTCCCAGACTAATTAGGGAGAATATCAAAATACAAAGTTTGGCAAAAATGGTGAAATAGGAAAATTATTACAGCAACTAAAAAGTGTTTTGTTGTTTTTTTTTTTAAATTTTCTACTAATTTATTTATAAAATTCAAATACATTTTTTTAATAATAGTCCAATATGTTACTGTTGGTATGCACTGTTGAGTTGGAATTGACTCATTACTGATCCTCCAGCAAGTTTTCAGAGGCAATAAACTACACGGAAGGAGACTGTTTATCATCTTCCTGAGTGGTGGATTTGAACTGCATGCCAATGTAACTTTATTTATTAATGGCATGTACTAAGCAATTTAACTGTTATGTAACACTAATGACATTGCTTCTATTGGAAAAGGACGGAGAAATGCAAGTTACTAGTTTACTAGTTGTGTTTTGTTGACTGTCATCGAGTCGAGCACAACTCACAGCGACTCTGAACAAAAGACCTAATGCCTTTCCATACTAACATCATTTCTCCAAGTTCATAGAGTTTCCAGAAGTATGTGGTTTAGGAAGTGGATGCCACTCCTGCTTCCAAACCTGTTTTACAACTGGTAGTATTGTTTTACAAATACTGTTCACAGTGAGAAACCATTATGGTATTTGATACTCCAATGGCACAAGGTTCAGCATCACAGTAAACCCAGGTTACCTCATACAGCACATTGACAAAGAGTGATGTACAAAGTGGAAGAATGTTCCTCCAAATATAACAACACTCGTCTCATTTAGCAGTGGTCTAAGTGTCATCAAGTCGAGTAAGACTCATAGAGACCCTTGTACGAAAGACCAGAACTCTATTCTATATTTAATGTCATGTCTGTATGTTTACAGAGTTTATAGAGTTTCCAGAGGCATCTAGTTTAGGAAGTGGATGCCACTCCTGCTTCCCAACCTGAATCAATCTGGAAGCTCCTCCAAACATTGTACATGACAGGTAACCATTATGGTATTTGACATGACTACGGAACAGTGTTCAGCATCACAGCAACTCCAAGTTATTCAGGACAGCAAATAGACAAATGATTGCTGTATCACCTAAAGAATAATCATTCTAAAGTTAATCTATTTGGCTCAACGGCCCTACAGGATGTTAAAGCACATCCTTAAGTAGGCCTCCATTGCTGGTCAACAGTTCAAGTGACACCCACTTTTGGGGGGGGGGGGAAACAGTAACATACACAAACATGACCCCAGAACTTCCCTTACATGACAACTATCAAGAAGTGACCACCGTCAGATGCTAGGAGCCAACTCGTAGAGTGGAGTCTCCAAGCCGGTCAACAGACTCAGCCTCTCACTATGGCATTTTAAAGATGCACCCTTAAGCAGGCTTCTACCCCTGGTCAACAGTTCAACTGACACCCGCTGTTGGGAGGAAAAACAGTAATACACATCAAACATGACCCAAAAAAACTTCCCTAATGTGACCACCATCAAGACATGGCCACCATCAGACACTAGGAGCCAACTTGTAGAGTGGAGTCTCCCTTATCAGTACTACCTGGAACAATACTGAAGGGTCCTAACCGTAAAATCGTGAAAGATGTAGGACATATCAAAAGAAGATAGAAGGAACATAGTCACTATACCAAAAAAGATCTTTCAACACTGAACCATTTCAGAAGTAGCATATGATAAAAAAGCAACTTTAATATTGTAATGAAGTTAGAAGGCTAAGTTGAGATGAAGATACTGGCAAAAAAGAAGGTCCAAGGAATTGATAGAATATCAAATGACATGTTTCAACCAACAGATGAAGCCCTGGATATACTCACTAGTCTATGCTATGAAATCTAGAAAACAGCTACCTGGGCTCACAAACTCACATTTGTCCCCATTTCCACAAAAGAGCAGCCAAAATAATATGAAAATTACAGAATAATATTATTAATATCACATGAAAGTAAAATCTAGCTGAAGATTATTCAAAAACAATTGGAATAGTATACTGACAGAGAACTGCCAAAAAATTCAAGCTAGATTCAGAGGCCTCTCTCATGGCCTGAGGGATATCACTGCTGATGTCAGATGGATCTTGGAAGAAATCAGAGAGTACCAAAATGATGTTACTTGTGTTGCATTGACTATGCAAAGGCTTCTGACTGTGTAGGCCATAAAATTATAACATTGAGAAGAATGGGCATCACAGAACACTTAATTGTGTTCATGTGAAACTTAGAAAAAGAAGCAGTTGTTCAAACAGAACAACCTGTTTTAGCAGAACTTGGCTTAGAATCAGAAAAGGTGTGTGTTAAGGCTGTATCTTTTTATACCTATTCAATCTGTATGTTTTAAACCACTCCTTGGTGGCTTACAGGTAAGGAACTAGACTACCAATGCAAAGGTGTGTGGTTCAAATCCACCTGATGCTCCATGAGAGAAAGACAGGTAATCTCTTCATGTATAACCTACTGTCTCTGAAAACCCACTGGAGGTTCAGCTATGGGTTAGTTCTGAACAGACAGTATAAAACAATATTTACAGAGCCCCTAAAATATGTCAATTAGTGCTGTATGTACTATGTATATAACAATAAATGAGATGGACTAAGTTCTAAACAATAAACATATTATCATGATACTAAAACTAGCAAGATAATGTTATAGAGAGTGGCTATGGTTACTATTCTGGGTCGCAAGGGAAGAGACTGTGAGCAATGACCTGTAAATCGAACTCCAAATAACCAAAAGGGGACCAGCTATTGGAAGTTTAAGGGAAGACATTCCTGGTAAAGGGTACAGTTAGTACAAACACATTAAAGTAAACAAGAACTTGGCAATTTTAAAGCTCAGAAAGGCTACTGAACTGGAAAGTAGAGGTTGAGAATAACAGAAAATGGGCAAAACCATGCTATTAATTTCACAACAGAAAGCACAGAGTAAGTACACACCTAACATTTACATTTTAAATAATTAAAGTT